GATTGGAGTTCACTGATCGCTCGGGGCATTGCTGGAATTAGCTAGGTATCACGTCGTGTGTAGCGGGACTCAGGCCGAACTATCGGGCGGTGTTCGAGCGCTTCAGGGCCCGGGGAACCCGCAACGAGCGATTTCTTCTCGCTTATGCCGCTTAACAGATTCTGTTTTATGCCGTTGGGGATTAAAATTAGGTCGCGCATGAGGCTGCCCCCCTCCCCCCCTCCTCCTTCGCCCTCTCGCCTCCTCCACCGGATAAGGAGAACACCACGGTGATGCACTGGTGCATGAAGGGGGCTCGATTCTTACGTAAAACACCATATAGCATTAGCTGATTTTTCTGCCTGCCTGATCTCGGGATTTTTCTCGTGGGATCGGTGAAAGAAGCGAGAATTTTTAGCCTTTGGGACTAGTAAAAGCTTAAGCGGATCCAGGTCGACTCCTGGGAGGAAGGGGCGGGGGAATTCCCCCTATCCCCCGCCTAAGCGGTGCAGATACAGGTCCTTCAAAAGTCAGAGTTTAAAGCTAAAACTGAAGAAAACTCTCTCCCTTCCCCTTCTCCGCCCCCCTCCCCCTTCCGTCCCCTACCCACTCCCGATCACCGCCCCACCGGCAGACCCAGTTTCTCCTCCTCTCCCCCGCTCATCGTCGGTAAATGCTTCACTCATCGCCTTCTCCCCTCTCTCCCTTCAGGAGACCATCCTGGATCCGCTTATGCTTGAAACAGACATGTTCATGAATCCAGTTTTGGAGGCATTGGAAAAGACCAGGTTTTGCTGGGGGGCATTCGTAAATTTCGAATTTTTTTTTGTAGACTAAACAAGAAATGGTGAGGATTTGGAGGCCTGCGATGATTGGCACCGATCGAGAGGCAATCTTCAGTGATCAGGACTCACTCGATCACACTCCCTACGCTGCTGGCATGCAGCAGCAACAGCAGCAGCTGCATCAGCAGCAAGAACAGCAGCAGCAGCAACTGCAGCAGCACTGTCACTCACTACTGCTGCTGGAAAAGCATGTAAGGTTTCATTGCATTTTACCGCTCAAAAATGTCATTATTATGATTATTGTCGTCATTATTATTATTGTCGTTGTCATTGTTATTATGATTATTATTGTTGTTATTATTATTGTCATTATTGTTATTATTGTTATTACTATTATTATTACTACTGTCGTTATTATTATCATTATCGTTATTGTTATTATTATCATTGTTATTATTATTATTGTCGTTGTTATTACTACTGTTATTGTCCTCTCGTTATCATTATTATTATTATCATTATTATTATTATTATTATTATTATTATTATTGTTATTACGAATATTATTGTTATTGCTCTTTTTATTACTATTGTTATTGTTGCTATCATTACACATTTTAGGGTCCTCTGCTTATACGTTTTGTATTGCAACGGTTACAAAAACGCATATAGTCGTGACGCCCCAGACTTGCCGGTGCGATCATTTTACGCTAAAATTGCAGATCGCTAACAGCAAAAATGATCCCTGTGCTGTAATTTAGTACTTGAACTGGTATTGACTGAGTTTTACCCTCCTCCCACATGCGTGGGGAAAGAGCGCCGGATGAGATGAAGGTGTTGCATTATGGGGCCACATGGTTCTCCAGAGTGCATGATTATCGGTTTTTTGCATGAAGCTCGGTCGTTCTTCTAGTGAAAGCTCGCTTACTAAAAAAGTGAAAATTTGAAGGAAATCCGGAGAGGAATGTGAAATCAGCAAAATGCACTCACTCTTGAGTTTGCGATAAAATCAAGTATTTGTCATGTCTGGGCGCATGGAATTTGTTTGTCTCCAGCGTGCACAATTATCGGTTTTTTGCATGAATCCCGGTCGTTCTTCTAGTGAAAGGTCGCTTATTGAAAAAATGAAAATTTGAGGGAAATCCGGAGAGGAATGTGAAATGTGTAAAATACACTCGCTTTTGAGTTTGCGACAAAAATGAGTATTTGTCATGTCTGGGTGCATGGAA